GAGTGCGAGTGTGAGTGAGAGAGAGTGAGAGTGGGAGGGCGGGAGAGTGAGTGGGTGTGAGTGTGAGTGAGAGTGAAGGTGGGTGCGAGTGAGTGTGGGTGAGAGTGTGAGCACTTCGAGGTTCATGAAGCGCTGTGCCTGCCACGAAATCTGCACTTCGAGGTCCACCATGCGCTGCGCCTGCCACGAAATCTGCACTTCGAGGTTCACCAAACGCTGCCCCTGCCACGAAATCTGCACCTCGAGGTTCACCAAGTGTTGCACCTGCCACGAAATCTGCACTTCCAGGACCACCATGCGCTGTGCCTGCTACGAAATTTGCACTTCGAGGTTCACCAAATGCTGAAACCTGTACTTCGAGGTTCACCAAGCGCTGCGCCTGCCACGAAATCTGCACTTCGAGGTTAAGTGCTGTACCTGCCACGAAATCTGCACTTCGAGGTTCACCAAGCGCTGCACCTGCCACGAAATCTGCACTTCGAGGTTCACCTAGCGCTGTACCTGCCACGAAATCTGCACTTCGAGGTTCACCAAGCGCTGCACCTGCAACGAAATCTGCACTTCGAGGTTCACAAACTGCTGTACCTGCCACGAAATCTGCACTTCGAGGTGCACAAAGTGCTGCGCCTGCCACGAAATCTGCACATCGAGGGTCACAGAGTGCTGTGGTTGCCACGAAATCTGCAAACGAGCCACATGTCCAAAAGTCGCGATTCACTGCACCTGTCACGAAATCTGAGCTCCTCGACGATCGCCAAACCACTTTCCCTTCAATGGGTGCTTTCGTGGGGCTGGGTGTTTTGGTTTCTGGCTGGGCTTGGGCTTGCGTGCTCGCTGTATTTACTGTAGAAGCTACATGGGCCATGAAAGGGCCTAAAGGGCGTTCATATCACAGAAGACGCACGCGGCAATTGGCTTGCTGCTGGCAGCAGCAATTGTCACTGGTCGCTGCTCCACCACCACTCAGACGTGTGTCAAGCAAGATGCAGCAAGAGTGTCCTGAAGAGTGCGAGCGCCCAACAAAATCATGTCAAGCAAGAGTGCCCAGAAAAGAGAAGCGTGTCAAGCAAGAGTGTTGTCGAAGAGAGCGTCCTTCAAACATGGAACAAACACGTTTATTAAGTTCTTGAGACGTGTTCTTAGCCACGTAGTGGTGAAACGTTTTCATTTTGGTTTGGTTCGCCCACCAAAAGGTAATAAGTGAATCCGTTCTGAACCGAATTGGTGTTTAAACCGCGCCGTCCCGGCAAATCATTTCCTCACAGCGGCTGCAAAGTCTTTGCAGGTGCGCAAAGGTAGCTCAGAAGATGGAAACGGGTCACAGCGGCCGCCGGCCGCCGAAGATCATTTGCGCAACTAGACTAGTTAACCAGAGGAATCGGTCTTCGGAAGCCTGAGACTTTAACATTCCGCGCTTTTCAAAAGAAGTAACAAGCGATACTTGCGAAGTCACAATCTCTCTGCGCGACGGTCCCCCGGCTAGATTTGCAGAGTCAGCGAAGTCACATGTACGTTCATTTTAAACAAAGTATGTTCAGTCATTGTAAATAACACTGACTCATAACTTGCGCCTCCCTCAAGCCTCACGCTCACTCAATGAACCTGAATGAACCTCACAAATGCTTGCGGGTTTCCGGCGCGCTTCAGCGATCTAAGCATCAGCTGCTTTTCACTCACCGTAAGAACCCCTAGTGTGTCCACACCGTTTGGGGAACAAGAATCTAAACAAGAGCACACACATGAGAACAAGCTAGACTTTCAGAGGTCTACAGAAGTCTAAAAGCACACATCTGAGAGCACAGTCACCAGACCACGCAGCACCTGAGTGAATGAGCGAGTGACTGTGAGCGTGAGTGAGAATGAGAAGCCACGTGAGTGAGAGTGAGCGTGGGCGTGGTGAGTGCGAGTGAGAACGAGAGTCAGAGTGAGAGTGGACGTAGTCAGCGTAAGAAGACAGAGGTCAGATCTGCAAGCTAGACGATCACACATCTGAGAACACAGTCACCAGAGCACGCAGCAAGTGAGAATGAGTGAGAGTGCGACAATGAATGCGAGCGTGAGTGAAAGGAAGAATGCTTGTGAATGAGAGTGAGTGTGGGCGTCATGAGTGCGAATGGGAGAGCAGAAGACCAAGGAGAGCACACATCTGAGAACACAGTCACCAGGGCACACATCAAGGTAGTGAACGAATGAATGAATGAATGAATGAATGAACGAACGAACGAATGAATGAATGAATGAATAGACATGAATAGAAAGAAATAGAAAAGAAATGAAATGAAATGAAAATGAAAATGAACATGAATATGAATATGAATATGAAATGAAATGAAATGAAGTGAAGTGAAGTGAAAATGAAATGAAATGAACATGAAATGAAAATGAAATAAAAATGAAATGAAAATGAAAATGGAAATGGAAATGGAAATGAAAAATGAAATGAAATGAATGAAATGAATGGAATGAATGGAATGAAAGGAATGAAAGGAATGACACAAAGTGCTGTACCTGCCACGAAGTCTGCGCATTGCGAGGTTCACAAAGTGCTGCGCCTGCTACGAACTCTACGCATCGCGGGTTCACAAAGTGCTGCGCCTGTCACGAACACTGCGCGTCGAGGTTCTCAAAGTGCTGTGCCTGCCACGAACTCTGCCCATTGAGGTTCACCAAGTTCTGTGCCTGTCACGAACTCTGCGCATCGAGGTTCGCAAAGTGCTGTGCCTCCCACGAAATCAGCACTTCGAGGTTCACCAACTGCTGCACCTGCCACGAAATCTGCACTTCGAGGTTCACCAAGTGCTATGCCTGCCACGAAATCTGCACTTCGAGGTTCACCAAGTGCTGTGCCTGCCACGAAATCTGCACTTCAAGGTTCACCAAGTGCTGCGCCTGCCACAAAATCTGCATGCAAACGAGCCACATGTCCAAAAGCCACGATTTACTGCACCTGTCACGAAATCTGAGCTCCTCAACGATCACCACCATGTCCAAAGTGCTGCGCCTGCCACGAAAACTGCAGTTCGAAGTAAAACAGCTCCGATCCCTTGCACCTCTCACGAAAAGTCGACTTTGGACCACGAAGACACGAGGTTTCCCTTGCACCTGCCACGAAAACGCGCGCGACACCACAACGAGAGCGCAGTCGTTAGAAGCACCCGCCGCGGGCCCTCAGACTTTGCGAGCCTGCGCAGGGTTGAAGTCCACCGTTTGGGACCCTCGTGGATGGTTTTCCTTTCCGAGCTGAAAGGTATTATTTGGGAGATGCTGAATGGGTTCTCAGTTGGGCGGCACTTGGTTCACGATGCGCCACCCCCGCTACCTGACCCCGGGGCTTTGTTGGTGGAGGTCGCCAACTGCCAACGTGAGGCAGCCAACTGCCAGCAGTACTTGGTTGCCTGGGCCTTGAACCTGGACGCGATGTCAGGGTTGCAATTTCAAGCAGCGCTGGGGGGCGCTGTGGAGGCTTGCGGCAGCCTTTTTGCCGCACTACCGGAAGTCGAGTTGCTTCATGAGCTGGCTGAGTACCTAGGTAGGGTAGATTCCGGAATAGTGCAGGGGCAGTTCAGAGGGTATGAGGCTCCTGCAGTCCTGAAGTACTGGGACCGCCGTGGTGAGTTTCGCCAGGAGTATGAAAAGTCTGGTGGAGAAGCCGCATCAGGCCGGAAGGGTCCGCGGCGTCGGCTGAATGCCATTCACAGACGGAAGGTCCCGAGAGATGTCAGTTTGGAATGGGTGTAAATTTTTCGGTTTTTGATTCGGTTGAGCTGCTCTCCTTGCTTTTCAGCCTTCTTTGTGTCAAGCTATCTGCAGTGTCCCAATTGCTTTTAGCACCAGCCATGTCGACTCCTGAAGCTGTTTTCAAGGAGCTCCAGGATAGGTTCGACTATGATGAAGCCATCACAAAGGAGATTCTGTCGTCCGGTGTGACGTCACTTTCCGAGCTTCGCTTTTACTGTTCCAATGAAGAAGATAGACTTTTGTCACGCTGCGCGTGTGAAGCGCGCCTGGTCCTCGATTGTGCAGGCCGAGAAGGCTCGTGATGCGAGCCAAGTGGAGGGTGTTCCACATTGACGATGTCGAGAGGCATGAATGTACTGTAAATAGCAGCAAATTTGCCGGTCACGGCCGCGCGCTTCAGCGATCTAAGCATCAGCTGCTTTTCACTTACCGTAAGAACCCCTAGTGTGTCCACACTGTTTGGGGAATAAATAGCAAAACATAATGCAAAAACAAGGCAAAAAAAGACAAAGCACAAAAAATGCAAACAAAAGGCAAAACAAAAGCAATCAATGCCTTTAGATTGCCTGTCCTTTTGCGTTGTTTGTTGTTTTTGTATGTTGTGTGCATTTCCTTGGAACAACAATTTAAAAAGAAGAAACGCAAACACAAAACGCCAAAAGAAGAAAAACACAATATATATATATATATGTAATATCGCACACAAAACGCAACATTGCAAATAAAGATAAACGCTCAAAAAAAGTGGTGTGTAAAATTTGGTTGTGCATGTGCATGCTTTGTGCGGTTTGTTTGCTTTTGTCTTGCGTTGCTTAAACAGTTCTTTTGCATTTGGTTGCATTTTTTTGTGGCTTCCTTTTGCCAGTTTTGTGCTTTTTGATATGCACTCTTTTTGACCAGCTGCCTTTTTTGCCTTTTTCATGCTTTTCTTTTGCATTTCCTGGTCATCATTTCTGAGTGTGGTTTTGGATTTATTTTGTGTTTGTATGAATCCTTTAGATTTCAGAGTTAGGCTGTAAGGCTTTGTTCTTTTTCTTGGAACAACATGGCTCATCTCTGTCTCCGAACAGGAGAAGAACGTCCGATTTGGTGCGCGGCCTGTCAGCTACCCAGATCTTCGTCTGCCACCGCTTGAGTTGGCCGGATCTGTGGGCGTTTGATTTGGAACACACCTTCCAGACAGGAGGGAGCCATGAACACCACTGTGGATGCAAACTAGCAGGAGCCTAGGCCATGAATCAACAAAGCCTGGCTGGATTGACCCATTGGCTGGCAATCTTTTGAAGCATAAGCCCAAAGGCAAAAAGGTCAGCAGGAAAGCAGAACAGAGGTTCCAGAAGAAAAGACTTGACAAAGCCAGAAATTATGCCAGCATAGACGCCAGATAGCAAAAGATACTTGTGGGCAGCACCATAGCAGCACGAGCATGCAGGCTCGAGACCGCACACGGCTGGCAGCACCGACACTCTGCAGCGCCCTCCAGTGGCACTAGCACCCAGGTTTCAAAGGGTACACGGCCGTAGGCATCTCGCTGCAGCATCCTGGAGCAAGCGCACACGGCCCATCTGGCAGCACGCAGGCTCCACAGAGGGCGGCACCTCTTCGTTACTTGAAGTAACCCCCAATAGCTCTAGCTATCCAGGAAAAAATCACAGCACGACCGGCTGAGGCTGACAGTCTGAGTACCACTGTTCCGGTATGATTCAGTAGGACCATTCTGATTGTTGCAGGAATTCTATTCACTCGCGGGCTGCCACACAGTGAACAAGAGATCAAGCCCCATCAAGCTTACTTGCTGAATTTGGGCATTGCCAGGTTCCTCCCGAAAAAACCACCAGTCGTCTCCTGTAGTCGTGACACCAGTGACAAAACCGCCACAGCACGCGCCAGGACCTGGCAGCAAAGTGTCCCTATCCCCGCACCTTTTGGGGGAACTTCACGTTTGGTGCCCCCGCTTGAGTTTAGAGCTTCAAGCCCTCGCTTGAGTCCCATGAGGGATCTCAAAGGCGCAAGATCCGTCCACATGATGACGGATCCAAGAGGGGAGATTGGGATTAGCCAAAACTACCCATCTGTCCTATGCCGAAACCCACTAGAACCAAGCAAAACCTCAAAGCGAAGAGTCTGGTTTCAAACGGATCACATTGAGAAATGAGTTTGGTGGTCTACTTCCCTCAAACACACTCAGACCTTTAGGACACAAGGCCGGATGATTGTGTGGCAAACAGGATTTGACTACCTATTGAAACCAATTGGTACCTCAAACAATGCCAGATCTCAATGACGTGAGCCGCCTTTTTCGTGGCAAGGCCAGCAAAAGAAGAGTTCTCGCAGTGGGTGTGGAAACCTTGCCCGGAAGGCGATAACTTTGCACAAAGTCTTCCCTCCTCCAAGATCGCTGCCTTGGCCCTGCAACAAATTTCTCCTCTGAACAGGTTCCCACAAGCAACGGTCTATTGCATCATATTGCATCGAACAGGTCTTAGCGCATCAGCTCGACATTTGAAATGAGTTTTCCAGACTCGGCATTCGCCAGCTGGTCTCGGCAAGGTTGCCTCTTGTGGGCCGAAACGTGGAACGCCACACATCTGGTTGTCAATTCATCGCAACCAGATGCAACCTTGCCTGGAAGAAGATGTGGAGGTCACACAACTGCATGAACCTAAAAATCATAGAGAATCTACCTGGGCTATGAAGCTGGCAGCCCACAGGGCTTGATTGGTAGATCTTAAAAACCTGCACAATGAATTAAGAAACGGCAAAGGAATGGGTATCTTATATCCGAGATGCAGAAGCCTTTGGGCCGGGTTGAAGGGTGTAATGCAAGCAGTTGTTTCCTTTTCAAACTGAACCTGTACATCCCGATCCCACAAATATTTGAATCCCAGTCCAAATATATATTATATGGCACGCATCCTCTAGAGGTCCCCATCCCACATATCTCTCAAGGTTTCAGCGTCTCTCGAGCGAGCGCACGCCCTGCATGCGCACTACAAGTTGTCCACCTCGGCACCAAACATGACAGGATCGTTTGACTGAGAATTGCGTCCGGCAACAAAGTGGGTTTCCACAACCCGCAATTGCGGACGCCACCTCTACACATTCCATTCCTTTGCCAATTGCATTCAATACATAACATAACATAACGATGTGATTTCAATGCGCTTACAAAAATGTCGTTTGTCTTAGGGCGTACCATAGGTGGTGTGTGTATATATATATATATTTGTATACACATAAAAGCATATGTATTCATGCACGTACACACGAAACACGTGCCATTGCGACACAAAAATACTTTTATAGGGGATTTGGTGACTGAGCCCCTTTGCAACCGATTGCAATGAGATTCAAGAGTGAACATTCAAGATGTTCAGGAAAGAATTCTTGCATCCAAGCCGCAGGATTCAAGATTCAAGACTTTAGGAACGAATTTTGAACCCAATCCCACCCGGACTCAAGATGCCAGATTTCATGAAAACATGTTTAATCCGATGCCAAGATCCAGGGACTTGGATTCAAAATATATATCCTGCAATCTTGAATCTTGAATCCTGGGGTGGGTTTCAAGAATTCGTTTCTGAATCCTGGGGTGGGATGGGATTCAATAAAATTCTTGCCTGACATCTTGAATCTTGAATCACGGTAGGGATTTTTACTTTTACCGGTGGAGTTGTCCTGGTCTAAATCTTCCTTGGTAGTCCCTGTGCCCTCATGACTCATTACAAGTGTTACAAGTGTCCTTCCTTTCTCACGCAAAACACCCTTTTGAGAAAAGAATCCCTTAATATTACAACAGGTAGATAAACTCTGGAACCTGACTTTCCTATGCAAAGGCAGCGGTCGATACGATCTCGAACGACATTCACGGCCCTGGCGCCTTTTCTTCAAGTTCTTGAGCCAAATCAGGTTGGCGTCCACAGTGCAATGGCAAAGCCGATTACTGGTGATGCAAGTCTTTACATGACAATTTCAAGACACCAACTATACATGATGTGTCATCTATACATGAAGAGTGCAAGAACCTCAATCTCACTCAAGCTCAGTACTTCTTGGGGACGTTTCTAGCTGAGGGATTTCTTCTCCCCCCCTCTGACTCCTGAGCTGCTCGACGGCTTGGGATCAGTTCTGAATCCCGGGCTATCCAGCTGGTTCGGAAAGGTTCTGTGGCACACTGTATGGAGGTATCCTCTTCGGCTTGTGTTTCTGCCGTTTCTTGTACCCTGGCTGGGTAGGGCCTGTCGTGCCCTGAGGTCCTGTCGCTACGTCTGTCGTTGGTGCATCTGGCTGCAATGCCATCTGCTTGTCCAGCTTCAGGCCAGTGCCTGAGGTGTGCTTGATGGTGTACCCATCAAGGTGCACTCCAAGGTTTTGGAGGGTTTTGGGCCATAGCGCAGGCTCAACTGCTTTTGTGAAAGCATCGGCTTTCTGGTCGCTTGTTCCAACAAGGCTCAGTTCCACGTCATCGCGATCCAACTGCTCCTTCACCGAAGCCAAACTCACGCGATGCACGCGTTTGAGATGCCTCAGCTTCTTGGAGTATCCAGCGGTCACGACCTTCGCGCATGCAGTGTTGTCTTCGCGAAGTCTCAACAACACAGGACGCCCAAGCATTGCGGAATACAACTCAACCAATGGCAAACCCTCTTCAAAGAGCACATACGACAATGCGACAGTCTCCGCCTCCGTCGTGCTTCGACACGTAGCCGTCTGTTTCTTCGACAGCCATGCCAAAGGAAACGATGTCCGCGGGCCAGACAACTGTAGCCATCCACCAGTGGTACTGTGGGTGTGTTCATCATCTCCGCAGTAGTCTGCGTCTGCGAAAAGTTCAACAAACACACGCTCCGGCGTATCACGCACATGCCCAAGCAACATAGCGTTCTTGGTGCACTCGAGGTAGCACATGGCTCGGAACAGGTACGCATCACAAGCTTGCGTCCAGGACTGTACCATGGTTGCCAACCAAGTCACAACTCTCAGCAGGTCGGGACGAGCAAGGCGTGCCAACCACATCAGTCTCATCAGGATGCTGCTGGCTGAAGATGCCAGAGCACCACGCTCTTCTGCTCCAACAAACCCCTTGCTGAGAAATGGCGATGCGACGACTTTCATCTTCGGGCTGTTTGCAACCCTCAAGTACTCTTGAACAGTAGCCTCGGCGTAAGCACGCATGTCAAAGCCAAAGAACTCTGTGTTGTCAACCTCGACAGTGGAGTGGTGTCGACCAAGAAAGCGACCCAACGGTCCAATGTCATCAATCAACACCTTTTCACCCAATGCCTCCCAGAAAGGCTCGTGCCACTGACTTGGTCCTGAGAGAATCAAGTCGTCCACGTAGACAACCAATGCCAATCCTCCGAAGGTAGGGATGGTGAAGGTGGATGCAAACTCTTCAACCTTGACTGCTCCTAAGAGACACAACTGTTCTTCAAGAAACTGTTGCCAATGGGCCCCAGCTTCTGGGTGCCCGTATAGCGATTTGCGCAATCTAATGATTGGTCTTTTGAAGCGAGGGTAGCCGCTTGGGGTGAACCAAGACTCAGACCACAACTCTCTTGGGAGACGGATGTACGTGGCAGCCAAACTTTTCAATTCCGATTGAAGGTACGCCTTAACGGCGTCTGCCGATGACAACTTGTGTCCCTCAAAAAGACCAAAAGAGATCAGGCTATTGGCTGCAACTATCGACGCAGGAGACGCAGCTAAAGTCTGGTAAAGTGCTAGCTTCCCTTCAGCTGTCTTTGCAGAATCACCACGATAGCACACAGGACCTTTCAGAGCACGAAGCTCTGGAGCCAATTCAACGTGCTTTTCGCTGCAAATAGCAAGCAAGTCTGCAATGTGAATAGTCTCTCCACTCTGCAATGCAGCCTCCTTCACGCGGAACTCTTCATCAACCGACTCAAGCTCCCATGTTCCCATGGAACCAACACCATCGAACTCCTTGCGGATCGCCTGCAGTGCATCAGGTCGGGACAACACTTCGTTCCGGGTGAACTGTCTCGTCACCAGGGCATACACCCCAGCCGCAACGTCTTCCGGTGGGACATACCCCTCGGGAAGCTCATCAGGAGAGTACTCGGGACCCTCAGTGGCCTCCGGCTCAACCCAATGTTCCTTTTCTGCTGCTCCTGTGGAAGAGGAAGAAGATGTTTTCTCTGAACTCTTAGGCATTGCAAGCGGTCCAGGTGTCTTCGGCGCTCCGACATCTGGCGCCGGTGTAGGCGGCGCTGCAGCTTCTCTAGGGAAGATGGCATCAAATCGCTCGCGACATGCCTTGTTGTGGCGGTAGTGGCCACCACATCCAGGGCAACCCTTCGTAAAACCATGCTCCAACAAACGTGAAAAAGTAATGTATGCATGACGTGGGGGTGCAACTGGGGTATCTTCCGGAAAAGCATCAATGTCAATGTCATATGGGAGCACGCCCGACTCAAGAGATCTGTCATAGATCTTCTTCTTCACCTCAACATCAGGGTCAGACATTTCCTTCAGCGCCTTCATTGCCGCGTTGGACAATGGAAATTCAATGTGCTCAACAGGAGGGAAAAACACCTCCTTCTCATGCAAGTCCTTAGGACTCCAATGCAAATGCGCTCTTGCACGGACAGCTTCATAGTCAACAACTTGTACGACATTGCGGTATCGCAAGCCTGAGTCAACACGCCATCCTGCAAACAAGCCTGGTCTTGTAGTTGGAGCGGCCATTCCATCGCTCTTGGCCCTGTAGAAAACAAGTGCACCAAGAGGGTACTTCACTCCAAGAAAGGGCTCACCTGTGCAAACCTCCCAACGGGTCTTGCCAGTCTTGAGCTCCTCAATCTCCGTTCCACGCTCATGCTTGCGAATCACACAAGGCGACCAAAAGGCACGAGCTTTTGCAGTATAAACAACGGAGATCGGCCACATCTTCTTGCTGAAGCCGGCCTGGAGATGTGCTGGTCTGCACAACTCTTTCAACGTCCTCACCTCACGTTCGACGTGGGCCGCGTGAGGCCAATCCCTGGGGATGCTCGGGGATATGGTCCAGCACAGCCTGGATGCCGCTCCGGTCAACTCACCGGCTGCATCTGATTTAAAAATGACACCGGTATCACCGTTCAACCTATGGCCACCGAAGTGTTTCAGTGAGTTGTAGCAGGATTCTTCTGACCTGTCTCTGGCCGGATAGGCCATGCTCAGACCTGAGAAGAGATCAACGATCACCAGAGCTACCTTCTCCCCAGCGCTGCTCACGCTTTCCTCCGACGGAAACATGTGGTCGGCTTCGAGCACGCGGCCAAAAGCAGCCGAGCGCTCGTAGGCTTCATCGCTAGGTTCAGGTCGAACTCCGTGGGCATATCTTTTCAACATTCGACCACGCACACAATGTTCACAAAAAGGATTCTGCTTCGCGTGGGTCGTGATGTGGTCTAGGCTCTTTGCCTCACGCTTCAACCTATCATCTCTCGACTCTGCAAATTCAGCTTCGTCGTCCGCAGGAGCAAGGTCATCTTCAAGCTCGGCGGGAGTTGCAAAGGTATCAACGGTTTCAATGACCAACGGTCCACGGTAGACCTGTTCCTTTGGCTCCTTCTCGACATGTTCCTGTGCGACCACGCAAACAGCTGCCTCACAAACGGGCATGGCGGGCACCTCCTTGAAAACAAGGTCAGGAAACAAAGAAGAGAAGACGATCTCACACATGATCTCTGGGTATCTTGCAGTCGTGCTCGTGTTGGAACCTGTGATGGGTGCATGTTTGAAATCAGTACCATGCTTGCGTCGGCACTCGCTCAAGTTCTTCGCGAGGTTCTCACTCGTTGTTGCCACTCGCCACTTCTTGAGGAACGGTGTGCCCTGCCGATCAACAAGTCCAACTGCACAACCATCAAAATTCACCACTGTCATGCCAATGTCTCGGATGAGCTGGCACAATGCAGCCTGCTTCCAACCCAATGCATGTCTGGGCCATTCAAAATGAACATCCCCACCATGCTCAACAACACATCTAGCAAGCTCA